TAGAGATTGCAAGGGGGAAATCTGGGAAGGGAGCCAGAAGCTGGTATTTCCGATCCCCACACTTGGCTAGAGTCTCTGTGCTTGATTCCCTGGAACCTGGGGTTCTCATGGAAAAGTTTTTGGGGGTCACAGTGAGGAGACAGTGTCCCTCAGATGCCACACCTGATCAAAGTCTCTGTGACTGTCACCCTTAGGATTTGGGGTTTCCGTGAGGATTTGGCGGGTCTCCCATCACATCCACCCGGCACCCTATTTATCTCTCCCCTCCTCCACTTCCACTCTGGCCCCGCCTCATCCTTGCGCCCCTATCCCTGCCTTAGTCTCCTCCCTGGCTTCTAGACCCAGACGCTCTCTCTTATCTACTCTCCCACTGGGCAGCCAGGGGGATCTTCTTTATTATTTTTTTTTCAGGGAGGATCGTCTTAAAGCCTAAATGTGAGTTTCTCTTCCACAGCTAGAAGCTTCCATGGCTCCCTAGTGTGCCCAAGGTAAAATCAGCTCTTCATAATGAATATTTAAGGTCCCTCATAATCTAGTCCCAAAAGACAATTTTGTTTCTGGCTTCTCTCCTCTCCCTATTCCTCCCTGAACTCTAGTCCTCTCAACCCCTAATGGCAGGTCTGGGAAGGCTTTGAACCTAGCCCCTCAACCTGTCTCCTACCCTCCTGGTCAAGGCTGCTCTGACAGAGTTGTTGAGGAGCCTAGGAGGCCCTAATAACATGGTGGCTAAGAGACCAGGCTTGGGGACTCTGGAGTCAACCTAAATGGTCAGCAGTAGGATGCTGGTCTACTAAATTATGGCTCTTGACCAAAACACAGGATTTACAGTAAATACACAGGGTAAAGGAACACATTAGATGACATCACATGAGTATAATCAGGCAAATACAGCATGTGGGGCATTCTACAAGACATCTGGCCTGGGCTTTTTTGGGAAGTAAATATTGTGGGTTTTTTTTTTTTTTTTAAATCATGGGGCGCCTGGGCAGCTCAGTCGGTTGAACCTCCGACTCTTGGTTTTGACTCAGGTCATGATCTCAGGGTCATGAAATCCAGCCCTGTGTTGGGCTCTGCGCTCAGCAGGAAGTCTGCTTGAGATTCTCTCTCTCTTCCTCTGCCCCTCCCCCCGCTCGCACTCTCTCGAATAAATCTTTAAAAAATATCATGAGGACTGTACCAAAAATATACCCAAAACACTAAAGAGACATAACCAAATGCAAAGCATGAACATGGATTGACTCTAGTCTAAAAAATAATAACAACAGCTATAAACACATTTTGGAGACAACTGGGGAAATCTGAACATGAATGTGATAGTAGATGCTAAGGAATTATTGATATTTTCTTAGATGTGAGAACGGTGGTGTGGGTATGTAGGAGGATGTTCTTTTTATTAAGATTTATTTTAGAGAGAGTGAGAGAGAGAGAATGAGCAGGGGAAGGGGCAGAGGGGGAGGGAGACAATCTCAAGCAGACTCCCTGCTGAGCAAGGAGCCCGACACGGGACTCACCTCAAAACCCCAAGATCATGACCTGAGCCGAAATCAAGAGCCAGATGCTCAACTGACTGAGCCACCCATGCACCCCTGTTCTTACTCTTAAAACATGCATGCTGAGATGCCACAAGGTCTATAACTTACTTTCAAATGATATGGGACACATGTTTATATTAAGAGATAAGGAAAGAGGAGAGAAAAAGCAAAGATGGCAAGTTGTTGGATCTAGGTGGAAAGTGTGTAAGTGGTCTGTGGTCATTCTTTAAACTGTGTTTGCAAATTTTTATGCTAAGTGTCAGAGAAAATGAAATCATCAACGATGAGAGTCCATACAACAGAACAATCTGCAAACGTTAAAAATGAGACAGATCAGCGAACCACAGAGAAAATTAACAAAGCCCAAACTGGTTGTTCGAAAAGATAAATGAGACTGATAAAATCCCTAGCTAGACAGATGAAGAGAAAAAAGAGAACAGAAATGACCAATATCAAGTGTGAAAAAGAGGTTATCTCTACAAATTCTGCAGTTAAGATTTGACAATTTAGATGAAGTGACGATTCCTTGAAAAACACAAGGAATGAAAGCTTGTGAAACAGAACATAATTCTGTTGAATTATGTTGAATTCATTATTTAAAAAACTTCCCACAAGATAAATAAATAAAATCTTAAAAGAAAAAAAAAAAAGGCAAACTTCCCACAAAGACAACTGGCCCAATGGCTTTACTGGTGGATTCTATCAAAGATTAAAGTAAGGGGGCGCCTGGGTGGCTCAGTCATTAAGCATCTGCCTTTGGCTCGGGTCATGATCCCAGGGTCCTGGGATCGAGCCCCGCATCGGGCTCCCTGCTCCGCAGGAAGCCTGCTTCTCCCTCTCCCACTCGCCCTGCTTGTGTTCCCTCTCTCACTGTGTCTCTCTCTGTCAAATGGATAAATAAAATCTTAAAAAAAAAAAAAAGATTAAAGGAAGAAACAACATAGAGCTTTTCAAATTTGAGACAGAACTATACGTGCTGAGATGGGAATGATCTTTCAAAATAGATTCAGTTAAAAAAAAAATCGTTGTGCAAAGGAATGAATAGTAGCCTCTCATTATGTAATAAATAAAGGAGATATATAGGTGCATTTTCTGTCTTTGCAGGGATAGCCCACTGCCTTACAGGGAGGAAACTGAGGGGCTGAAATTCAGGAGTGGGAGAAAGACTAATTTTTCACTCTGCCCCCTTCTGTATTGTTTTAATTTTTAAATATGAACTGTGCATGGAATTAAAAAAAAAACAGCTTAAAGACTTTAGCTCAAGCTTTGCTGGATTTATAGTCTGACTCTAGTCACATGTTCTGTGCATTGGGTACTGGTAAAAGACTGCAGAAAGAGGCTGCATGGCTAAAATCTTTTTTTTTTTTTTAAAGATTTTATTTATTTATTTGAGAGAGAGAGAGAATGAGAGACAGAAACACGAGAGGGAAGAGGGTCAGAGGGAGAAGCAGACTCCCCGCTAAGCAGGAAGCCCGACGCGGGACTCAATCCGGGGACTCCAGGATCCTGACCTGAGCTGAAGGCAGTCGCCCAACCGACTGAGCCACCCAGGCGCCCTGCATGGCTAAAATCTTGAGGGGACAAGGTCATTAAACCCACACTTAGCCACCCACTGGCTGTGTGATTTCAGGTAGGTAGCTCTACCTCTCTAAGCCTCTGCTTTTAACACCTGTGAATTAGGGGTTATACAGTAAAGGATTAATTTTGCCCAATTCCTGGGAGGTAACCTCTTGGAATATCCTGCTTGGAAAGAGTGTTTTTGTTTACCTGGGACATGCAGTGTCAGCTTAACTCTGGAGGAGCTGGAGACTAACGTCAGGCACATGGGAGGACAGCTGTAACTATGTGACTGACCCCCCCCCTTGAAAGCTTGGACACCAAGGCTCATGTGAGGGCCCCTGACTGCAGTCTGCTGGGCCTGTTGTCATGCACTGGGGCTGGGAGCATTGAGTGCTGTTTGCTCAGTGGCCCTGGGAGAGAATGACTAGAAGCTTTTGCTTGGGGCCACCTGGAACCCACAGACCTCTTTCCTTTGCTATTTTTAATCCATATCCCTTCCCTGGGATAAACCATGATTGTGAGTAAAATAGCTCTTCTGAGTTCTGTGGGTCCTTCTAGTGAATTACTGAACCTGAGGTGGTTTTGGGGATCCCCAAACACAGGAGTGATGAACACTGTATACCCCACCGGGGGCAGAGGCACCAGGGAGACTGTGCACACACAGTACCTAATGATCACAGCCAGTACTTACTGAGCGCATATTGTGGACCAGCCTGTGTGAGCTCATGAACTCACCGGATCCTCATAACAGCCCCATGAGACTGATACTATGATTCATGTCTCCTTTTTATTTTATTGTGAAATGTACTGTACATTCAGGAGTATAAAATATAGGTGTATGGCATTAAAAAAATACCTAGAGGGACACCTGGGTGGCTCAGTCGGTTAAGTGTCTACCTTCAGCTCAGGTCATGATCCCAGGGTCCCAGGACTGAACCCCTGCGTCAGACTCCCTGCTCAGTGGGGAGCCTGCTTCTCCCTCTGCCCCTCCCCCCGCTTGTGCACGCTCTCTCTCTCTCTGTCTCAAATAAATAAATAAAATCTTTTAAAAAATAGTTAGAATGTGAACAACTGTGAATCATCAGGTTAAGAAAAACGGACAGGGAAGCCCCCAGGAGCCCCTACCCAGTTACAGCCCCTCCCATCGCCCGAGGTAACCACCTCTGACTTTTGAGATAATCATTTCCTTTTTTGTCTTTTCTGTATGGGTCAGCCACCCGCGTACATATTCCTAACACTACTGTTTCATTTTCCCTGCCTTCAAGTGTATTGGATGGAATAATGCAGCGTGTCCTGTTCGGTGTCTGCTTCTTTCACTCACTACTATGCACGTGAGATTTAACCATGGGGTCGGACACATCAGTAGTCTGTTCCTTTCTCATTGCCGTATAGTATTCCATATAGTATACCATTGTAGAGACCACAGTATATCTCTACCCGTTCTGCGGTTGATGGAAATTTGGGTGCTTTGTGGCCATGACAAACAGTGCGGCTGTGAACGTTCCTTCCTCTACTTGTTTCCCAACCACCACGTCCCAGTTCTCTAAGATGTATGCTCAGCCTGGAACAGCTGGGTTACAGGTTATGTGCATTTTCAAATTGATTCAGTAACACTGCCATCTTTCCTATTTGAAAATGTAGTAATTGCAATAAGCGAGGTTAAGTAACTTTCCCAAGATCACAAAACCGAATGGCCTTGAACCCAGAGATCCTTGTTCCAGAGCCCATGCTTTCCCTTACACAACAATTGTGAGCTCTTCTGCTGAGGGTTGTTGGGGGCTATTATTGGGGGTTTCCATTCCTGTCCCCATTATTATGAACTCTGTCCCCATCAGTTAATAATTAACTGCCCCCCAAGGAGCCTATGATCCTAAAAGATTTGCCTTGCCCTGGCTACTGCCTGGTTAATCAGTCACTGTCCCTGGCCGCTCAAGGGGCACTTGGTAGACCTCCTGCCTCCAAAGCCCCTTTACTTGCTCTAGAAGCGGCTAGGGATTCATGATGCTTCGGACCTGTCGTGTGCTCTGTTCCCAAGCTGGACCCTCCGCTGGGGGCTGGCAGCCCTTGAGCTTTGATGGTGGGGCTTTTCACCTCAAAGGCACAGGAGAACTGACACGAGCTTTGTTGGTGCTGCGGCTGTGTGCCTGGCCCCCTCTGGTCACACATGGCTTGGCGGTGAGCAGGGACCCTGGGGACTGGCCTTGGGCATCCCCAGACTAGGCTCTGAGCCCTTGCTCTCTGTCACTCCAGCTCCAGGCCTGGTCTCAGCGACTCCTGGGCTCCCGGCTCTCAGGCGCACTTCTCCGAGCATCTATCTATGGGCAGTTTGTGGCTGGTGAGACAGCAGAGGAGGTGAAGGGCTGCGTCCAACAGCTCCAGACCCTAGGCCTTCGGCCCCTGCTGGCAGTACCCACTGAGGAGGAGCCAGACTCAGCTGTCAAGACTGGGTGAGTAGGGGCCAGGCCCAGGGAGGCTGGGAGGTTGGCAGGAAGGGGACTGGTGGGCTCCAGAAGCTAATGCCCGCTGGCTGGGCAGTGAGGCCTGGTATGAGGGGAACTTCAGTGCTATGCTTCGGTGTGTGGACCTGTCACGAGGCCTGCTGGAGACCCCTGGCCCGACTGGGAACATCCTTATGCAGCTGAAGGTGACGGCGCTGACCAGTGCTCGGCTCTGTGTAAGGGACGGGCAAGATTGGGGAGGGAGGGTATGGCTGCCTACCAGGTCCCCCTCACCACTCCACACACCACCTCATTCCAGAAGGAGCTAACCTCATGGATCAGAAAACCAGGGGCTTCCTTGGAGCTGAGTCCCGAGAGGCTGGCTGAAGCCATGGACTCTGGGCGGGTAAGGAACTCAGGCTGGTAGAGAATGGGTGGTTGGTGGGGAAGTGGGAGCGAGCAGAGTTCTCTGTACTTGGATGTAGCAGGCACCTGCCTGGCACCTGTTTGTAAGCAGGATGTTCGAACTATGTAACTACTGCTGCTCCCCAGGCTTGGAACAATCAGAAATAAATGTGGCTATAGCCCTGGGGTGTGGCTGGAATGGATGGAATATATGGGTCATCTGGGGGTCCTAGGCGAGGGCCTGGGGGCTGGGAGTTCACAGAAGAGGGAGTGAGACAGTAGTTCTTTACCAACTCAAAAAGAGTAATCAGTATTTGGTCAATCAACTCAGCTATGTTGTGTGCTGACTGGAAGTTATGATTAGGCCAGTGGGGTTTTGGTTTGGTCATTCATTCATTCACTCATTCCTTTTTATTTCCATATACTATTGCTACCCTCCCTGCCATTGGCATCCCTAATACAAACACCTGGTTTTCCTTTTCCATCTCTGCTAGTTCATTCTCAATCCTTGTTAGGTTCTTCTCTGCCTGTCTCTTCAATATGGCGCTTTCCCAAGTCTAGGCCCTGGCTCCCAACTCCTCACTCCTTACTCCCCTCGATGGGGGCTTCTTATCCACCCTGCAGCCTCAGTTTCCCCACTGGGTACTCATGAGGCCCACGTTTGTCTCCAGACCCAGCCTTTCCCCTGAGCCCCTGGACATCCTCCAGACCCCTCACACCTACCAGGTCCCACCCTGGCTTCCGTGTCTCCCCAAACCTGCCCCCCTTCCTGTCCCCATCTCAGAGACAGCCCTCCCATCCCCTGTGTCAGTCCCTACCCTAGAGGGAGGGGAAGATTGAGTGAGTTAAATATTTGGTGAGGTACCCAAAATAGCCCCAGGCACCAAGTAGGCCCTCTCTGAGGGTGGCCGTCATATGTAGGGAGTTTCACCAGCTACTAACTCCTCAGAACTCTCCCAAGACTCCGCCCCAGCCAGAGGGAGACAATTCTCTGAGGACAAGATAACTGGGCAGGTACCCCAGCCCTTCCCTCTTGCTGGAAAGTTTTCTCCACTAAGCCGAGGGGGGGTTGCCACAGCCTGATCCTGGGGCATTCCATTAGCAGACCTAGGCCTGTGTCTACATCTGGACTCTGTTGGAGGTAGAACTAAGTCCCACCTGTTCCTCCTTCTTGAACCCCCCAATTTCTTTGAACCCAGCTGGACTCCTTGAGTCGCCAGCCCCTCATATTCACCTTCGGAATGTCCAAAACAAGAACGTAAGTTAGGGACAATTATTTCCACTGTGCTCCCCCAGGGGTGCACGAAATGATGACCAAGACAAACTCCCAGTCCTTGAGGCACTCACTTGCTCGTCAGGGAGGGACAAGAGACACTCAATGACTAAAACCAAAGCCACTAAATAACAAGTATAAATAAGCATTGTAGGGACAAATAAGGCTGAGGAAGGAGAAGGGAAAGCCCCAAAAAGTGAGTTGCAAATGTGAACCAGGGAAAACCTCATTGAGAAGGTGACATTGAGAAAAACACCTGGAGAAGAGATCGGAGTGAAGTAAGTGGACATCGAGGGGAAGAGTGGTCCAGGCAGAAGGAACAGCCAGAGCAAAGGCCCTGAGGCAGAAAGGTACCAGGCATGCTGAAAGACTAGCAGGGAGGCCAGCATGGCTGGAAGACTGTGAGCTTGAGCTTGGGAGAGCTGAGGAGATGAGAGCAGAGGGGCCAGATGGGTGGAGCCTCGTGGACTGCAATGAGGCTCTGGCCTTACATGAAGATATGGAGGTCCTAAGAGACCTAATACCAGATGACAATTCTGGCACTTCCTATGAGCTGGCTACTCTTCTATGCACTTCCTACGTATTAATTCCTTTTTTAAAGATTTTTTTTTTTTTTTTATTTGACAGAGAGAGAGATAGCGAGAGCAGGAACACAAGCAGGGGGAGTGGGAGAGGGAGAGGGAGAAGCAGGCTTCCCGCAGAGCAGAGAGCCCGATGTGGGACTCGATCCCAGGACCCTGGGATCATGACCTGAGCCGAAGGCAGACGCTTAACGACTGAGCCACCCAGGCACCCCCTACGTATTAATTCCTAAGTCTCCTCACTCACCGAGCTTCAGTCTCCTCACTGGACAAGGAAGCTTGGAGTAACTGTCTACCATGATCATTGCGAAGATTATATAAATAAGATAGCATATGTAGTCACTTATTATTATAATAACGACATACATCGAGTGCTTATCATGTGCTGGCCCCATCCCATTCTTATGTCCAGGCACGTCTTACAGGTCCACACAGCAACTCCATGAGGGAGATGCCATTATCCTCTAATCATTGAAAAAACAGACAAAAATTGAGGCCCAGAGAGGTGATATGGCTTGTCCAAGGCCACACAGTAAGTGGTGGAGTCTGGATTCAAACCCAGATCCTGGGCTCTTAACCACTTTATTCACCTCAATAAATAGTATCTATGTGATACAGCTACGTTTCCTATTTCTAAAAATTTCTAAACTTTTCTCCCTTCTGGGTGATGGCGGAGAGGAGACACAGGCCCCGGAAGGATCCGGTCACCTGAGCCATTCTCGCCTCCCCTGCTGCTCCTCCAGGATCTCCAGGTCTCCTGCCTCAACGCCAAGCAAAACCAGCATCTCCGGGCCTCTCTGAGCCGCTTGCACCGGGTAGTCAAGGTAACACCTGCCGTGGCCTGGCTCCACCACGCGTGCTGGGCGCCCTGAGGCCTGACCGCAGCCCCTCTCACCCTCAGCATGCCCGGGCCCAGCACGTGAGGCTCCTGGTGGACGCCGAGTATACCTTCCTGAACCCGGCTCTCTCTCTGCTGGTGGATGCCCTGGCCATGCGCTGGAACGGCCCCGGGGAAGGGGGGCCCTGGGTGTGGAACACTTACCAGGCCTATCTGAAGGTGTGTGGTGAACTGTGGGGGACCGCGGGCTGGGGTCCTGGGGGCCCTGACCCGAAGCTGCCGGGGTGCCCCGCCAGGACACACACGAGCGGCTGAGGCGGGCCGCGGAGGCCGCTGACAGGGCTGGCCTGGCCTTCGGAGTCAAGTTGGTACGAGGGGCATATCTGGACAAGGAGAGAGAGGTGGCTCGGCACCATGGGACAGAAGACCCCACTCAGCCGGACTATGAGACTACCAGCCAGAGGTAGGACTGGGCCAGACAGGCCTCGGAGATAAATAAGATCTAACCTGGCACACTGCCCATGAAGCTAAGCATCCTGTGTATGTCCACATATCATTTCCTCTCCCTGGTCCAGGACATCGTCACTTCCTGCCTCCTCTTTGGGCTCCCTGCTCCCTCCTTTGTCCACCACCCCAATCTGTACCCCACAGGCAGCTAGAGGGAGCCTGTTAATATCTAAGTCAAATCCTGTCCCTCTTCAAAACCCTTCCTTCGCTCCCATTGCCCCTTAATAAACCCAAAATCCTTACAGCAGCCCCCCACCCCCACATAATCAGGTCTTGTCACCTCAACTTCTCTTCCGCTCACTCTGTTCCTCCACACAGGCCTCCTTGATGATCCCCAGGGCCTTTGCACTTCCTATTCCCACTGCTTAGAACGTTCTCCCTCCAGACAGCTGCTTGGCTCAATCCTTCACCTCCTTGTTGGTACCTCCTCAGGGGACCTTCCTTGCCCTCCCTATCAAAAACTAGAACACCCACACTACTCTTTTCCTAAATTTACTTTTCCTCTTTAGCACTTACCAGCACCTGAGGTTCTATACACTTTCGTATTCAATTGCACACTATCGCCAGCCCCTCATATTCACCTTCGGAATGTCCAAAACAAGAACGTAAGTTAGGGACAATTATTTCCACTGTGGTCCCCCAGGGGTGCACGAAATGATGACCAAGACAAACTCCCAGTCCTTGAGGCACTCACTTGCTCGTCAGGGAGGGACAAGAGACACTCAATGAC